GACTGGGAGTGGGACTCAAGGCAGTCTTTGATTCACTTCATTTCAGCCTGGCGTTCAATGTCTCACTGCAGAGGGAACAATGTTTAATTGGCTTTGGCTGGAGGAGCCTTGGAGGTATTACAGGGTACATGGCACCGACATACACTGTCACCCATCTAAAACACAAACCCTGAATCTCCAGATTATCTAACTCTAAGGAATTTGGGCAACATAAAATATTTATAATATGCCCAGCGATGGTGGCGCACGCCTTTAATCCCAGCACTCGGGAGGCAGAGGCAGGCGGATCTCTGTGAGTTCGAGACCAGCCTGGTCTACAGAGCTAGTTCCAGGACAGGCTCCAAAGCCACAGAGAAACCCTGTCTTGAAAAACTAAAAAAATAAAATAAAATAAATTAAAAAAATATTTATAATATAAATTTGTAATAATATGTAAGTCATTAGTATCTGTTTCTAAATGTATAAAATTATTCAAAAGGATTATTACCATTAAAATGTCAGACACTAAAATTATCTAGTAATATTTATTTTTTATCTTTTCCCATACTCCCATTTATGTGATAGTAAACATATGTAACAATCATAATAAAAAGAATACACCTCAAATCCTTTCCCCTTGTTAATCAGCCTCCACCCGCATGGAGAGACTCACTAACAGAATGTACCACAGTACTAACTGGTGACCAGTCACACCAGCGCATGACGGGCTACGTAGTACAATTATGGATTTTCTTTCTGTGAAAAGAAGAGACCTTAGATGGGGAGCCCAGAAGCGACAGATACATCTACAACACAACTCCTTCACCTAATTGTCACGGAACATCATCAAAGAGAGGATGGGAACGATGACGCGAGCCAAAGGTCAAAGAAATCTGTTGTGAGATTGTGCCTTCTAGAAACGATGGGGAAGCTTCACCTCTGATATCTCAATAACATGGCTACCTAAACAAGACCTGAACTTGTTCTAAATCCACCAGACAGGAACCTCACAGTCGTATCCTCTAGACAAAGAACTGGAGGCAAAAAGAGAATGTTCCGAGTGGGAAATGGTCTCCTGAGGAATGAGCCCTTCCTTTATTCCCACACTGAGCAGTCAGACCTGGAATCATACATACTACACTAAATGGGCTGGGCAGGTTGGCAGGTTATTCTCTCTCCTCTGTGTGTGTGTCTCTCTCTGTCTCTGTTTCTCTCCCCGACAGCAAACACTAATAATAAAACAGGGGTCATGAGTTTGAGAGGAAACAAGGGGTCCAGGACATAGGAGGGGCTGAAAGAAGAAAAGGGAAAATGATATAATTATATTTTAATTTGAATTACAAAAAAAGGTGAGATCTTCAAAGATGCATCAGAGTTCAGGGCACCACCAGTCATTCACTTACCACTGGGTATAACTATCATTCCAACTCTATTCTGTTTAACATTTCAAAGAAAATTCTCAAAAATAATGTGATAAAAATCTAGATCCAATGTATGTTTTCAGCTATTTTCATCTGGAGGGAAAGAAACTTAACATAACAAAAACAAAACAAAACAAAAATAATCCTTAATCCAAACCACAACATTCTGCAGTCAGAAACTGTAAACAGGAAGTGCTCTGCAGCTGCGGAACTTTCTGCTCTGCTCCAGCAGCTCTGAAGCAATAACTGCCCTCAACTGCTAAATGACTAGCAGCAGAGCCGTGCAAAGGCGGGCAGAGAAAAGAGTCCTGGTGGACGAGACTCCATCTGGGCACAGGTCAGTATTGTTAACTACGGTCTCCACACAGCTGTAAGCCACTGCAGCACTGACTCCGGGGGCACAGCATTTAAATGGTGTCTTCTTACCACGGAGGATCAATTCCCCAGTGTGATTTTGCAGTTTGGGAACTTTAAATGTATGCGATGCTGTCTGTCAATGCTTTAACTTCCTTTGCTAGGATCACAGGACCAGCCAGCACTGTCCAGCAAACAACCATTTTATTGCTTTCCTTTCAAAGGTTAAAGACATGAACTCAATCTTGGTACTTCAAGTTAAGTTTCAAAGCTGGGGCAAAGGACTGAGGCAGTGGTGTCTGCTTAACAGATCAAAGCTGGACCAGGCTGCCAGGTTCTCCCAGTATCCTCTACTTGTTACAGGGTATGACTGGCATACCTCATCCTCCACCCTCAACTTTCTAGCCCAGGGGCTGGGCCGCCCTTCCCCCAGAGGCTCTTCCCTATAGAATCCAGACATTTTGGTTACCCTTTCCCTTTTTGGACCTTTGGCCTCCTTGCTGCTGTACCTGTTTCCCCTCTCTTCCTGTCCCTTCCCTTCCCCCTCTCCCACACGGCCCAGCTCAGTCTGGACATAACCACTCTAGACTCTACCAAATGTCCCCGACTCTGTGATTTTCCATATATGTATCATAAACTTTCCCCTCTATCATACCTCAGGGAAGTCATGGCCTTTGCTCTCCTTTTTATTTCTTTTTTTCATTCACTGTGTATTTAATAAAATAAAAAACAAAATCAAATTCAGGAGTGGTCTACTTTTATCAATTTATTTTAAGAAAGTGCACTAAAAAGAAGTCCTTCTCACTAATATATTAAATGTTAAAGGGGCGGCAGGGTAGGAGGGATGGAAGGGACCCACATCGCCACAGAAGAACCACACGCTACATAGGTGCTTTACACAACTTCTGAGAATGCTACCACAACAGAAACTTTTAGAGGAAAGGGGCTCAGATATGTATTCTCTCATGGCTAAATCCCTCTTTCGTAGTCACAGTATCTGTACAGAACCTCAATAAAAAGCAATAAGTGCATTGTGAGTGATATGGCAAGGAGGATCATCAATCTCATTTTACAAAATTGATGAAACCAAGACATCTTCCAAGGCTTACAGGGAAGCAGCGGCTAGTAACCTTTGCTTTGAACCCTCTACAGACATGTTAAAGGAAACAAGGAAACCAATTCATGTCCACATGTCTCTGGATCCTTACCACTAAGAGGCAGCATTTCCTAGACAAAAGAAACCTAATAGACCAACTTCAGGAAGTACAGAGCAGATTCGTCTGGCTTCTCAGAATAAGAACCTCATAAATGATGTTAGAAAAAGAAATTTACCAGGAGGGAATAATTGGCTCACAAGACCTAGGGAAGTGCAAAGGAAGCAAGATAAAGGCCACACACCCCAGCCACCTCAGGGCCCAAGAGAGGCCAATGGACTTTGGTTTTGTACATTTCTTTTACAATGAAAGTTTTACATAGTGATGCTTTAGTAAACATCTGCTCTTCCTTTCAGGCTACAATTTAATGCTTAGACTTTGATTTATAGCTTGAAAAATTTTAACTCATAAAAATTAGAAAACATAGTATAGAGCAACCCAGTTTACTCTTCAACCAGCTTCCCCAGAAACAACAGCTTATCTATTACTTTTTAAAATCTAGAAGCTGACCAAAGTGTGACAGTGACTAGATTACAGACCTCATATGAACCCCACCAGTTCCTGCACAAGCTTTTCAGTCTCTTAAGCAGCAGCAGCCATATCTTTGTACACAGTTTTAAGGAAGGTGTGATTATTTGTCTCTATGAAAAGCCCAGGGCTTAACTTGGACCACAGAAAAGATGCTTTGCTTCCCTGTGTTGGGTGGGTTAGCAAGGCACTCAGAGGCAGCAACAACTGTTGCTCACATGGACCCGGGGACAACTCCAGCTAGCAGACCCTGCAACTGTCCACCTGATGCTGGTTTTCCAAGGATTAGGAGGTCATGGGGCTTCCACCATGATTCCAAAGAAAAGCCTGGGCCCAAGCAGTGCTGCATGCATCTCAGAACTCTGTAAGCAGCATCTGACAGGGCAATGCATAGTGAAGCTATGGGGATAAGGCAAGGCCGCTGGCGGATTCAAGGGAGAGAGAGGTGCCAGTACAATGCTCCCCTTGTCAGGAAAAGCTACAGTCATATGCAGTCAGTCCCAGAAGAGTGAACACATAGACTTCCAACGTTAGTGAAAATGATAATTCTATGGCTCCTTACCAGGAATGCCATCACCCATCCTCAAATGGAGAATATTTACTTTTATTTTCTTAATAACGAAATAAACTAGCTCTTCAGCAATTTCTCTTTTTAAAAATTTACCTTAGACTTGTATTCTATGAAGGAGAGAGGACATGTCAAAAAAAAACCAAAATACAAAAACCAACCAACCAAATCCTAAATGAAAAAGAAGCAAAAACTAACAAAAATCAAAAGAAAACAAAACAACAACAATAACAAAATACTTGGACTAAGTATATCTTCCAAAATAGCTACACCAGCAGCCTAATTCCACCCTCTGCACTTCCACTCTGTGTATATGTCCCTGCCACTGTAGAGTCTCATACTCTCTTTCCCAAGCTAGAAAAGCTTCCTGGGTTCTCAGACAGTTATAACCAAAGTGAGGGTGAGTCTTACTTCACTTCCTTTCCTACTATCAGCCTTAGTGTTCATGCTTATGACCGTATAAACAACCCTGCAGCAAGTTGATGTGGGAGTGGTTTCTTATTAATAAAGAAACTGCCTTGGCCCATTTTATTGGATAAAAAATTAGGTAGGCGGAGTATACAGAAGAGAATTCTGGGAGAAAGAAGGTTAGTGGAAGAGTCGCCATGATTCTCCCTCTCCAGACAGATGCAGGTTAAGATCCTCTCTGGTAAGCCAGCTCTTGGGCTACACAGAATATTAGAAATGGGTTAGAACAATATGTAAGAGCTAGCCAATAAGAAACTGGAACTAGCCGGGCCAGGCAGTGTTTGAAAGAATACAGTTTCCGTGTAATTATTTCGGGCATAAGCTAGCCATGCGGGTGGCCGGGTGCCGGGGACGCAGCCCTGCCGCTCCTATTTCAACAGCAAGTGGCAAGCAATACCCTGAAGGAAGAGGGAATGAGATTTACATAGTCTAACAGTTAAGAGACACATCATGGACTTGCTAAATCAAAAAGCACAGTAACATTATGTCTTAAGTTCACATTGTCTTTTTCTAAGCTTTGGGAAAAGATCAAGTATTTTATATGCAATGTCTTTTTTTTCAGATCACACGATTTATTATTTATGACTTATTCAATGACATAAACCACCAATTAAAATTAAACTGTCAGAAAAACAGACACATGCATGATTTTTTAATACAAGAAAAAGCTCATTTTGACTGGCCAAACACTCAGGCTAACAGACCACAGGAATGCTTTTCAAAAGGTGGTGTAGTCCTCTACGGTAAGCGGTTTCTATCAGATGGATTTATGACAAGATTACCACCCAAGGCCACGGAAGCCCATCTAAGGTGAGGGCATGAGCTTAGGCTCCAGATCCCTAGAGGATGCACAAGTGCAGTGCTGGGGAGGTGGGAGGGGGTAAGATGCCTCTTCTCTAGGAGAGGAAGACTGAGGAAAATATGGTAATGAATCACCTTGCTGTGTAACCCCCCTACCCCTTAAGACTGAGATGATACCTGATTAAATCAAATCAAAGGCAAATGTGACAGTTCTTAAGAGTTCTTGGACAGTTTGCCAAACCAACCACACACATGCTGGAGCCCGGGGGTGTGCATGCAGCTAAGGCCTGGTGATACCCAAACACGGTACCTGGCAAACAAAACCCTGACCACTGTCAATCTGTGTCTGCCTTCTTGGGTCAGTATCTTTAAAGAGCTATGTCTTAAGATTCCTCCTGCCATCTACTTTCCTTAAATCTTAAAACACTTTTCTTGACAGGACTTGTCTGTGTGGGGGTGGGCAGGGGGTGCTGAAAGGAGTTAAGGGAGGTTCCTTATTTCGAGAATGAAGATGCATAGCCAGAGCTATCTTCACACATGGAAGACATAATACAGACCGGGTGCACTGTCAACTGCATGCTTGGCACCGAAAGCTTCACTCTTTTAACCAGCTAAAACAAAGCTGTACGTACAGATAGGGCCTCCACAGGTCTCCATCGGATGGTGTCCTAGAGCTAAAGAAGAAGTGGACACATGCTCTGGTCCCTAACCCAGAAGCAATCTGCAACCGATAAAACACAAAGGAAAATTTGTTTTTCTCTAAGGGAGTCTCACTGGAGAAACAAACCACACTCTTTAGGGTAGGCCTCATGCCCAGCAGTAGACGCCAACAGAAAGCGATCTCGATGCTACCTTTGCAGGTTCTTTGTCTGACAATGTCATGTCCTGGCTTTTTAGTTTCTGCCTGTTTTAAATTTTTTTTTAATCTTATTTTAAATTTATTTTGTATGTATTTTTAGTCTCTCTTTTTACCCTAATGGTCCTTTGGATATGTATTAGAGCTTCCAGTTTAGTATTTTTATGGAATTCCTGAGTGCATAAATGAGTATATCTCTGAATCTGTATCTGTATCTTATGGCTTTTTGGGGGCCTCTCCGCTTTCTTTTTATTTGTTTTGTCCTCTGTCAATGGTATGTTAGTTTTTGTCTTATCTCATTTTGTTTGCTTATTATCCCTTACAAGCCCATTTATTTTTCTATCGAGACAGAAAGGGAGTGGAAGTAGGAAGGAACTGCAAGAATTAGAGGGAGGGGAAACCATAATCAGGATATATTATGTAGGGAAAAATTTATTTTCAATAAAAGGGGGAAAAAAACCCTAAAACAAAATCTACAAACAGATATCTTAAAACAGTAGCAATGGTAGAACATAGAAGACAGTTACGTGGTTTCTCTCCCTTTAGTAAATTCATGCTGCTAGTGGCAAGAATACAAGGATAGAAATTCTACCCTGAGATTTGTGAAAAGCAATGACACCTACAGTACTGTACAGCCTATTATTATTATTATTGTTATAGTTGAGGTGAGGGAGCAATGACTTCTCTCCACATGCGGTGGCAAGCCTAAGTTGTGCTTCATTATATATGAGAAGACTTACCAGATTTTTCAGCAGCGTGGACAGTTCCTTTGTAAGTGTAGAAAACTTGACAAAAGCGGTGCCAAGGTCAGGGTTGTCTCTACTTAAAAAATTACTTCCAAATTTATCGAGAACTTGTGCATAGTTTTCTTCATTTTGTACATGATCTAAAAAAGAAACAAAGAAGAGGTACGGGCTGTTATTTGTCACAATGCAGAGTTCTTTTGAGTGCTGACAACTGGAACCTCTCAAAAGGAAAAGCAGAGAAAAGAGCATCAGTTGTTTATTGAACACGTCTAGAGGTTGGCAGTACACTGAACGCTCTTTTCTTTTGAGACAGGGTCTAATATATAGTTCAGGCTGGCCTTGGGCTTGCAACATCTTTCCTGGGGTCCTCTCTTGTGATTACAGGTGCATGCCACCACACCTGGCTCCAGCTCATGCTCTCTCCTCCCCCACCTCCTGTTTCCTCCATAGCACTAAGCTCATTCATATACCAACTCATCCACTTTCTCTCCAGTTATTTAAAGGAAAAATTCTTATCACATTCTCCAGCAATTAAGAAACTATGAAGAAACTTCTCATTAGAAAACTCAGTCTTAGCCAGGCGTTAGAACACCTTTAGTCCCTTTACTTGGCAGGCAGGGTCAGGCAGATCTATGTGAGTTTGAGGGCAGCCTGGTCTATAGAGCGAGCTCCCAAAACAGCCAGGGCTACAGAGAAATCTTGTCTGGAAAACAAAAATGAAAAAAAATAACACCCCCCCCCCAAAAAAAAAGAAAAAAAAACACACCTCAGTCTTGGAATGCAAAAGATAACCTCAAGTATTTTAACACATCTCTTTCTCTGCATCTAATCTTGATTCCTTTATTTTGTTCATTCTCTAGGTCTGCAGAACAGCACTTGTAAAATTTCTGTGCTTACTTCCCTAGTGGCATACAAAAAGCCTTCTATTTAGGGATAAATTTTCCTTCTAGTTCTTGTTTTCAAATATACAAACTGAGACCAACCTTGTAGGAATGTGGTGCCCAGGAATTGACAGGAAGCACACAAACATTTCTCAGTAGTGGATACACAAACAGTAGCCCCTACCCTCGTGAAGCACCTTCTGTCATGTCTTCCAGGCCATTATCTACGCTGTCTTGACCATCCTCCACCTCATGGCTGCTCCTCTCCACTGTCTTTACATCTATCTGACCTCATCATATTGGAAAACCTCTCTCTCTAGGACTTTTATTATTTTCTATCTAGGTTTACTGCTTTGAGATCTCAAGTCTTACCACTTTACATGATTTGTAAAAGTTCTAAACCCAAAGCCCACCCCTAAAACATAAACTTACATATCTAAGTAGTTATCTGATACATCCGCTTGGATGCCCAATCAACAGGCTACGTGGCAACTTGAGTCTTCTTCCCCGGGCCTTTTATCTCAGTTAGTCGCTGGCAAACAGCATTAGTGAAGCTGTAATGCAAAACCTGCCAAGTCATACTTGACTTTTCTTTCTCACACCTTGTACCTCAGAGTGGCCAAAGAAAGCCACTTACTACTGAGTATACCAAGATACAACCCAGTCTGACAACTTCCCATCACCCCAGGCTGATGACCTACCCAGTATCCTCTTTTCTACTGGACTCTTGGTTGCTGCTCTTGTTTGTTACTGAAGCAGCATCCTGCATGGCCCTATTAGACCACACAGCAGATGTTAACGCCCATCACACACGTAACCACTCAGGAGGAATCCCAGGCTCGTGATCTTTACAGGCATAGGGAAAGGAGCACAGTACCTCCCATATCCTGGAGCAAATGTGTGGCAGCTGCCTTAACTGGCAGCTGAGTTGGAGGCGATATTCCTTTCATGTGCAAGCTTTTCAAATATTCCAGTTTAGGTCAGATCTCCATCTCTCTATTCTTTAGTTCTGGTATACAAAGAATCTGCCACAGCAATGCCTGGTATATACACTAGGTGAATTGGTGACAAGTGTCCATTAGAATTCTAAGCCTTCCTTTGGTTAGAAGGAACCTTCCCTAGCCTGTAATTCCTGTAATTCTGCATAGCTTTTCACGTTATCTGTATACCTCTCTCCATACGAGGCATGAATTGCCTCTGGTCACCTCTTTCTCCCCACTCAACAGACAACGCTGTAGATTTCCCAAGGGGCTTAGGGTGAATTTCAGTTTGGCTTAGTAAGAATTTTTTAAGTCCTCTGAAATTTCTTAGGTTATTTAGCCCCAGTTAATCTACTGAAATGAAATGCTTAACTTTCAAACACTCCTCAATAACTAACTGTACAGGAGCAATGGGCATTCATGAAACAGAACACTGGCCTGGGGAATAATGGGCAAGAAGCATTACTGTCAACCAGGGAGACCAGATGAAGTCCCCAAAGCCTTTTGCTCATCTCAGCATTAAAAATTCATGATGCCTGCAGTGGCTGTAAGCATTTCTGGCTGAGATATTAAGAAAAGATAAAAAGCAGCTCGGGTTACTCCTCGGAAAAATAGAAAGGCCACATCAGCTCAACAACAGATTGTGTATGTCTGCCCGAAGCCAAGCTTTCTGCCTGGGCCACAGAAGCCAACTCACCACTGAGAATCCCACCTAACACTTCTTTCTGCTTTTGCAACCCAGTGGGAAACAATGAGGTTCACCTCAACCCTCCCAGGGGAGAAGACACCTCAGTGCTAAGCAGTATACACTGGCACAGCAGCATTCTGCTTGTTTACTTGAAATAGTACTATGTTGCAAATGAAACGCATGCAAATGTGTAGGTTAGCAGAGTATCTGCTACTCACTACCCAGATTCATAAAGACATTATTACGAATTGGTTCTGGAACCCCTTCCTGGGCATCCCACACAACTGCAATCTCTTCTCTTCCTCCCTTGACATCTATTACCCTGAAATAGAATTTCATGCAGAGGTTAGAAAGAATTATGAGAAGCCTGGCAGATCAGTGATGATGACTCACTGCAAAATCAGGCAGAGAGAGGTCATGGGAGGGAGGATTTGATTTGTGTTGAGAATGTTCTCTGGCCTAACTCTCTCTCTACAATATCTTATTTTCCTCATCACCAGATCTCTGCAAAGATGTGATAGATGAGAGGCAGAGAGACAGACTGGGTAAGGTCTAGGTCATAGATCTGGACTACCCATGTAGTGCCTGTGAGTGCATATGCATGCATCAATTGAGTGTGCTTCCAAACACTGTGATATGTCATATATATGTAATATTCTGTTATAGACACAGATATTAAAATATAGGGTATAGTGAGTTGAATTTTGGCATAATAACACTAATGGTGGGAGTAGCATAAGCAAAGGGGCGCCAGTCGTTGTTATTTCGGAGCCATATGTAGGATCTAACAGCACAGGACCTGCTCTCATGTATTTGAAGTACATTTTAGCATATTGTAGTATGAATTCTACTAGGAAC